TCTCAGAGGATGAAACTAAAATAAAATAAAAAAAAATAAAAAAAATAAAAAGACTGCAGAACTAAATCTGCACCAACCTCGAAACTAATGACACATGTGAGAATCATTAAAAGATCAATAGAAATTGCTTAGATAGAAACGCATGTGAGAAGGTCAAACCTTGCGTCTATAACATGGAAAAAGGGGAGAAATTAATTGTTTAAATTTACGTCACATGCTCTTACATGTTCTCCCGTAACGCAGATGGGATCAGGACATTAGATTAAATTGTAGATCATCATGAAACGAAGTCCCACAGTAAGGCAGATGCAAAAGATATAACCATAGCAGTACTGATAACAGTATGTAATTTAGATAAATACAGTATACACTAGTCTCTATGTAGGGAGAGCTCAAATAACAGGACTATGAAGTGCAAGACAAAAGTATCATCTCAAGGCATATATGTCCTATGTTTCCATATCCGAAAAGTGTGGGTTAGTTTTGTGGATTATTGTTACACCTGTACATCTATGAGTGTTCCGTACCTTATGAAAAATATAGCTAGTTAGAATATGAGAAAAGGGGGTGCAAAGAGAGAAAGAAAAGAAAAGAAAAGAAAGACGAGCGTGGGAATGGAGGAAGAATATGAAAGGTAATATCGTAATGAGGTGGGGCGGAACAAAGAGGACAAATAGATAGGGAAGATGGGGAGAAAAAAAAAAAGGGGGGGGGAGGATGAGGTTTAGAAATAAATAGGCATAACCAAACCAATCACATTAATTGACATCGGCCAGGCTGTAACAGATTCTATCTTTAATTAGGGATATAATTCAGTGAAAGTCCATTAATGGAGTTATTCCTGAGGTGAAAGTGCTAGAGGCTTTCCGTGTCTCCAAATCTTTCTCGCTCTCATTCCTTCATTAAGCCATGATAAGTATCAGTAGATTGGAAATGAGTCCAACAAGCCCAAGTCTTCCTGAATCGCTGAGGGTGTTCTTCCCGGTACCTTTTTCATAGGCTTTTTTTGAGTTTGGGCAAGGACACAGGGGCCCCATGATCTCCTATTGCCCATGAGCTGTCCGTCCGCCCCTGGATGTTACTTAAAGTGCAACTGAAGTCCCATGCAGGCAGGGCTGTGGATAAGGGGGTACCACCAGTCCTGCTGTATGGGGCCCAGGCCAGCAGGGGGCCCAGGCAGCTAGGTGAATTAGATGTGGGCAGGGAGGGTGATCAGCATGGCAGGGGGGATGGGTGGGGGGACAATTATTGGAACCGATCCTCTGTATGGCTCTCTCTGCAGCAGCTGAAATCTAGCTTCTTCTCCTTCTCCTCTCCCTGATTTTTAGCTGCTGCAGAGAGAGTCATACAAGGGATCAGTTCCAGTAATTGAAACCTCATCACCCTTCCTGTGCACCATATGTTACCCCTTGCTGCCCAGTCCCCCGTGTATCCCCCCCCACCCCATACCTACAGTGCTGCCAGATTCTCTCCTTTACACCAGCAGTTGCAAGCACACAATAGCATCCTTCATGATGGAGTGTAGGGGAAGGGTCTGGTAAATATGTCACATTTACCAGCCTCTTCATTTCTTGCATGAACACAATGCGTGATCAGCACTGATCACTCACTGTGTTTATTCATAATTGAAGCATAGTAAACTGTCTTTTTTGGAAGGGGGGGGCCTGTCACTTTGGCTGTATGGGGCCCCGTGGTTTCTAAAAGCAGGCAGGCTTTTACTGCAGACATCTCATGTCTCGTCTGCAATAAAATGCCCCTGCCTGCCTGTTCGCTGTCTCCTCCAGCACTTTAATCTGAGCGCCAAATGCGCAGTTCAGCTTACAGTCCAAGATCAGTCTCTGAGTGCCGGGATGACGACCTCCTGCACATGCGCAGAAGTGACATCATCCCTTGCTGGCCAATGAAGAGGCAAGAAGACTGGCACTCAGAAGAGGATGCTGGAGCCAGGGCAGGACCGCTGGAAAGGTGAGTATAGAGACTTTAGATCCGCGTTAAAGATCTAGGGTGTGCTGGAGAATTCGTACATTGAGCTACATGGGTAGGTGGCCCTTATTATTTATTTATTTCAGGTACTTATATAGCGCCATCAATTTACACAGCACTTTACATATATATTGTACATTCACATCAGTCCCTAACCCTCAAGGGGTGTACAATCTAAGGTCCCTAACTCACATTCATACATACACATACTAGGGACAATTTAGACAGGAGCCAATTCACCTACCAGCATGTCTTTGGAGTGTGGGAGGAAACCGGAGTACCCGGAGGAAACCCATGCTCATATCCCTGGCCCCAAGCAATTTCCTGAGACAAGCACTGGCATGAGGAGTGCAGAGGGAGGGGGGCATGTCTCCTGCCGCTGCTTGTCTCTGCAAAATGCTTGGAACTGGAGATACGTTCTGACTATCAATGCAGCCATCTCCTTGCTAGCTGTGTTGTCGGGCAGTCGTGGAGGGAGAAGGGGGCGCCTTGCCTGACCATGGAGGTAACCTTCCACAGCACGTAGCAAGATGGTACAAAGTACTACATATATAGAACACCATGATAAAAGAAAGAAACAAGAATTATTCTTTAATATGAAGACATTCATATAAAAAGGGACATTTCCAGGGACAAATCTTTAAACAGCACAACATGGGGTATTTTGTAACAAGCCATCAATTTGAGTTGTAAATGCTATTCTATTCTGTCTGCAGTTCAGTTGTAACTGCTATTCTATTCTGTCTGCAGTTCAGTTGTAACTACTATTCTGTCTGCAGTTCAGTTGTCATTGCTATTCTATGCTATCTGTCTGCAGTTCAGTTGTCACTGCTATTCTATCTGCAGTTCAGTTGTAACTGCTATTCTATTCTATCTGTCTGCAGTTCAGTTGTAATTGTTATTCTATTCTATCTGTCTGCAGTTCAGTTGCAACTGCTATTCTAGTCTGTCTACAGTTCTATTGTAAATGCTATTCTATTCTATCTGTCTGCAGTTCAGTTGTAACTGCTATTCTATCTGTCTGAAGTTCAGTTGTAAATGCTATTCTATTCTGTCTGCAGTTCAGTTGTAAATGCTATTCTATCTCTCTGCAGTTCAATTGTTACAACTATTCTATTCTGTCTGAAGATCAGTTGTAACTACTATTCTATCTGTCTGCAGTTCAGTTGTAACTGCTATTCTATTTTGTCTACAGTTCAGTTGTAAATGCTATTCTATTGTATCTGTCTGCAGTTCAGTTGTAACTGCTATTCTATCTGTCTGCAGTTCAATTGTTACTACTATTCTATTCTGTCTGCAGTTCAGTTGTAACTGCTATTCTATTGTATCTGTCTGCAGTTCAGTTGTAACTGCTATTCTATTGTATCTGTCTGCAGTTCGGTTGTAACTGCTATTCTATTCTGTCTGCAGTTCAGTTGTAACTGCTATTCTATTCTGTCTGCAGTTCAGTTGTAACTGCTATTCTATTCTGTCTGCAGTTCGGTTGTAACTGCTATTCTATCTGTCTGAAGTTCAGTTGTAAATGCTATTCTATCTGTCTGAAGTTCAGTTGTAAATGCTATTCTATTCTGTCTGTAGTTCAGCTTTAACACTAAGCATAATGAATGTATAAAAACATCAATAATGAATGGCAACCAAATTTAAACTTTTACTGATCATACTACAGTAAAATGAAATCTTATTGGTTCCTACAGACAGCTGCACTCTGCACTGCCTTATAATATTCTATTTAGCTAGACCTGCTTCCTATAAGGTGAGGGGCAAATGTTTTAAGGTGTATTTATAAAAACTTCACTTAGCTGCTCATCCATCAATACAACATGTACATTTGTTCTATGTGAATTGAGCAAAATCAAATCCTCTCATTACGGCACTAGATGGTGTTGAGTATATGTTAGGGATGCGGGTATGACCAGAAATGTGTGGACTGACACAGGGAAGTAGCAGGCTTCAAGAACACAGGAGTAGTCAGGGCTGGAGAGGTGGAATGGTCAGGCAGGCTGTTAGGCACTGTCAGGCACCGCCAGGCGGGATCTCTAGTACCAACAGAACGGGATTCCCCAGGGCTCGGAGTCTAAGCCCCAGTCTGCCTTTTCACCAGTGCCCCTGATGGTGGAGATGGACTTGGCGCAGGACTGAGACCAGGTCACGGCCCCTGAGGTAGAGGGGTCCACCGAGGGTATGTACCGTGGGAAAGCCTGACGTGAAGAGGCTGGCAGACCTGGTAACAGGGACAGATCCATGCGGGATGGATGGATCGTCTGGGTAGCGTCAGGCGTAGTCAGGAAGGCCAGATCAGCAACGTGCGGGCAGCGAGGTACCGGAGGAGCAGGCAGAGAATAGTCAGAGTCACAAGCCGGGTTCAGTAACTCGCGGGCAGCGTGGTACAGAGGATCAGGCAGAAGGATGGTCAGGCAAGCCAGGGATCAAGCAGGAGAAGTCAGCAGAGGTCAGGATCAGGCAGGGTCAGCAACAAACCAGATAGTTAGCAGAACAGGAACACAGAATACCAGGTACAGGGGCTCATGGGAAACAATACACCAAGGCCCTGATCACAGGCCTGGTCCTACTTAAATACACCTCCTGCAATCAGCTTCAGCTGATGGCTGACTGCAGGAGTGAGATTCTGGTTGCTGAGAGCACCCGCTGGTCAGCCCTGGTACTGCAGCCCACACGGCAGGTGAGTCCCACCACCAGTGCTGAGTCCATTCCTGACAGTATAATAGGAAATTAGTATCCTCCTGAACTCCATCTAGTGGCCATAATGCAGCATTTTACATATTCAAATGATTCTTTTTTCAATGTGCAGAGAATGTGGCTTGAGAACATTCGATTTGTTGCCCCATTTGCAAAGAACAAACTTACATGAGATTTCCATTGATGAACAGCTAATCTTTATGATTACACACCTTGTAGTAGCTGGTCTGTACAATTACAAAAGTCAACGTTTAAATGGTACAACCTGATTGTTTTAGTTGTGTCCCCACCCTGGTCCATTCAATGGAATTGTACATTACCTCATCAAAATAGGGGTTGTTTCCTTTTCGTATTCGGGTCCTCTTCGTCTGCCCGGCAACTGTCACCTTGACAACAGGTTTGATATTTAAACCCATAATTTGGCGTCCTTCGATCACTCGCACCCGAACCTGAAGGAGAATCGTAGAAAGCATTAGACTGTGTTAGATGCATTGGTAAATACCAGCTGTTCTGGGTGGTAATCTACATTGGATATAAGTGTATTACCAGAGTATTCTGATGATAATGCATTCTAAAGAGGACCTGTTAAGGAGATGCTGAAAATGCTAGTGGCCCATGCTGACCGATGTCCACAGCCAAAAATGCCTACAATGGGCACATGATCATCAAAACTAGCACACGGAGCAATGGAAGGTGTCTGAGGTGTTGACTTGGCCTCCAAATTCTTCTGATCTCAATCAAATAAAAGTGATACTAAACCCACAACAGTAAAATTAAACTGTATATGCAGTAAAGCATGCTTGTTATAGTCACTGTGGAACTTAAGGGCTTAATCCTTTGCATTGTGTAAAAGGTTTCTTGATCTTGTCTTCTCTGATCCTCCCCTTCTTCCACTGTCCCCGATTCATCTTCTGCTAGAACAGAGCCTTGGGGGTATGCTCAGTTTAGTAAGTAATGCTAGAGAGTTTTTTTTTTTCTTGGGAGTGTATCAGCACAGGGCCAATCCAGACAGAGGGTCAGGGGTCCTGCAGCCTCATAGGACAGTGAGAGGAGAATGAAAACACCTTCTACAACCTTTAACCAGTACTCTGCTGGACACTGATAGAAGTCACAAGACTGCTATATACTGCTGATGAGAAAAGGTATTTAGCAGTTTATATTTACTACAATAATTGCACTTCCATGTTGTGTGTACTGTGCAAGACCGGATATAGTGAATGCAGGGTCTGGGGAGACCAGATATAGTGAATGCAGGGTCCAGGGAGACCAGATATAATGAATGCAGGGTCTGGGGAGACCAGATATAGTAAATGCAGGATCCGGGCAGACCGGATATAGTGAATGCAGGGTCCGGGGAGACCAGATATAGTGAATGCAGGGTCTGGGGAGACCAGATATAGTGAATGCAGGGTTCTGGGAGACCAGATATAGTGAATGCAGGGTGTGGAGAGACCAGATATAGTGAATGCGGGGTCCGCGGAGACCAGATATAGTGAATGCAGGGTCCTGGGAGACCAGATATAGTGAATGCAGGGTCCGGGGAGACCAGATATAGTGAATGCAGGGCCTGGGGAGACCGGATATAGTGAATGCAGGGTCCGGGGAGGACGGTAATAGTGAATGCAGGGGTCCGGGGAGACCGGATATAGTGAAGGAAGGTCCGGGGAGACCGGATATAGTGAATGCAGGGTCCGGGGAGACCAGATATAGTGAATGCAGGGTCCGGGGAGACCGGATATAGTGAATGCAGGGTCCAGGGAGACCGGATATAGTGAAGGAAGGTCCGGGGAGACTGGATACAGTGAATGCAGGGTCCGGGGAGACCGGATACAGTGAATGCAGGGTCCGGGGAGACCGGATACAGTGAATGCAGGGTCCGGGGAGACCGGATATAGTGAATGCAGGGTCCAGGGAGACCAGATATAGTGAAGGAAGGTCCGGGGAGACCAGATATAGTGAAGGAAGGTCCGGGGAGACCGGATACAGTGAATGCAGGGTCTGGGGAGACCAGATATAGTGAATGCAGGGTCCAGGGAGACCGGATACAGTGAATGCAGGGTCTGGGGAGACCGGATACAGTGAATGCAGGGTCGGGGTTTAGTAACACTTTAAGCATCTTTGGGATGTGCTGGAAAAATAAGTCCGATCCATGGAGGCCCCACCTCACAACTTACAGGACTTAAAGTGGAGTTCCAGTGAAAATGAAAAAAAATAAATAAAAGTAAGCAGCTACAAAAACTGTAGCTGCTGACTTTTAAAAAACAGACACTTACCTGTCCCTCAGTCCCGTGGTGTGTCCCCAGCAGCCCGTTTCATCAGCCACCCTGTGTTCCTGGCCCTGAAGAATCTTCAGTGTGGGCACCTGGCTGTGACAGCTTGCGGCTTCACAGCCGGGTGCTCACTGCGCATGCGCGAGAAGTGCTGCGCTTCATGAATGGTCCCATAGTCTTCTGGGACCTGTCACATGTCCCAAAAGACTACGGGGAGGGAGGGGGGAAGATCGCAGCACAGTGAAAGTGGGAGCGGGTATCTTTCAATTACAGATACCCGATTTCCCCCCCCCCCCCCCTCCAAAGATGCCAATCCTTAACGGGGAGAGGGAGACTAATTCTTAAAGCGGAACTTCCCCTTTTGGGTGGAGTTCCACTTTAAGGATCTGCTACTGACAATTTGGTGTCAGATGCCACAGCATACCTTCAGAGGTCAAGTGGCGTCCATGCCCCAGTGGTTTAAAGTTGTTTTGGTGGCAAAAGAGGGACCTACTCAATATTAGGTGGGTGGTCATAATGTTATGGCTGATAAGTGTATGCTCCTATCAGCCATAACATGCACAGGTCCATTTTCTCTTGTCCTGTATGCTGGGTGCAATTTTCATTACCTCTGCTTAGGCTAGGCTCACATTTGTGCTTGTCAGGAACGCTCAAAAAATTGTGCACATTTCAAACCCGCAGGCAAATCGTGCTGCTCTTTAACAGACATGCAGGGGTACCATTACATATTAATGACTTCCACACATCAGCCAAGCCAACACTTTCAGGTGTACAAAACTGCATGGTGCCGCAGTAGCGCTCAACTCCGTGTGACGCTGGGACTTCCTCACTCACATTTCTGCAGGTAAGACAGTCCACTGAAATGAATGCTGAATAGTACTTCTTCTCTTGTCCGGTACGCTGGGTGTAATTCCCAGTACTGATTCTTATTCTATACAGTCAGGTCCATAAATTTTGGGACATCGACACAACTCTAAAGATTTTTGGCTCTATACACCACCACAATGGATTTGAAATGAAACGAACAAGATGTGCTTTAACTGCAGACTGTCAGCTTTAATTTGAGGGTATTTACATCCAAATCAGGTGAACGGTGTAGGAATTACAACAGTTTGCATATGCGCCTCCCACTGTTGTAATTCCTACACTGTTCACCTGATTTGGATGTAAATACCCTCAAATTAAAGCTGACAGTCTGCAGTTAAAGTACATCTTGTTTGTTTCATTTCAAATCCATTGTGGTGGTGCATAGAGCCAACAATTTTAGAATTGTGTCGATGTCCCAATATTTATGGACCTGACTGTATGTATGGACAACGTACAGTTCCACTTCACCTATCTGATCTGGGGGTGCAGTCATGAAAAGTCAGGGGGCACAAAGTCACTGTCACTGACAGTCTGTCATCATGACCTGGGAAACACTAGTATGTATTAGGCGGTCGTTAGATGATGATTAAACAGACCCTGTGCCCCTTTATATCATCAGGTATCCCTATCAGAGCCCCCTCCTAAAATAGGGTTTCCATCAGTCCCCCATAGCATCAAGGTCCCCATCAGAGTTCCCTCTTTACAACAGGGTCCTCATCAGATTGCCCCCTTACATCAGGATACTCATCAGAATGCCCCCTTATATCAGGGTCCCTATCACAGTGCCCCCTTACATCAACTGTTCCCCCTAACATATGATCAGTTACCCCATTAGAGTGCCCCTTCACATCAGGTATCTGAATCAAAATGCCCCTTTACATCAGGTATCCCCATCACAGTGCTCTCTTACATTAATTGCTTCCACAAGACTGGCTCATGGATCAGTGGATACACTGGGGGGGGGGGGGGCTCAACTAAACTCTGGGGGGGCACAGCCCACCCCAGCACCCCACCCCCCCCCCAAGATCTGGCTCTGATATATATCATTTGGTGGAGATGAAAATGATCAGCTTACAGAGGACTGAATTCAAAGACAGCCCGAAAATCAAAGAAGAAAAATTGATGCAGCAGGCGAGTCCATTTTGCTGAAATGTCATTGCAGCAACTCAGAATGGTCCTCAGTAGTTTGTATGGCCCCCACCTGCTTGTATGTATGCCTGACAACGTCGGGGGATGCTCCTAATGAGACGATGGATGGTGTCCTGGGGGATTTCCTCCCAGATCTGGACCAGGGCATCACTGAGCTCCTGGACAGTCTGAGGTGCAACCTGGAGGCGTCGGATGGACTGAAACATGATATCCCAGAGGTGTTCTATTGGATTTAGGTCAGGTGAGCCATTCAGTTCCTTCATCCTCCAGGAACTGCCTGCATACTCTCGCCACATGAGGCATTGTTGTGCACCAGGAGGAACCCAGGACCCACTGCACCAGCGTAGGGTCTGACAATGGGTCCAAGGATTTCATCCCCATACGTAATGGTAGTCAGGGTGCCATTGTCTAGCCTGTAGAGGTCTGTGTGTCCCTCCATGGATATGCCTCCCCAGACCATCACTAACCCCCCACCAAAACGATTATGCTGAACGATGTTATAGGCAGCATAACATTCTCCACGGCTTCTCCAGGCCCTTTCACGTCTGTCACATGTGCTCAGGGTGAACCTGATCTCATCTGTGAAAAGCACAGGGCGCCAGTGGTGGACCTGCCAATTCTGGTGTTCAATGGCAAATGCCAATCAAGCGCTATGGTGCCGGGCAGGGAGCACAGGGCCCAGAAGACTTCGGGCCCTCAGGCCACCCTCATGAAGTCTGTTTCTAATTGTTTGGTCAGAGACATTCACACCAGTGGCCTGCTGGAGGTCATTTTGTAGGGCTCTGGCAGTGCTCATCCTGTTCCTCCTGGCACAAAGGAGCAGATACCGGTCCTGCTGATGGTTAAGGACCTTCTACAGCCCTGTCCAGCTCTCCTAGAGTAACTGCCTGTCTCCTGGAATCTCCTCCATGCTCTTGAGACTGTGCTGGGAGACACAGCAAACCTTCTGGCTATGGCACGTATTGATGTGCCATCCTGGAGGAGTTGGACTGCCTGTGCAACCTCTGTAGGGTCCAGGTATCAGCTCAAGATACCAGTAGACACTGACCCTAGCCAAATGCAAAACTAGTGAAAAACAGTCAGAAAAGATGAGTAGGGAAAAAAATGTCAAACCTGTGAAACCATTCCTATTTTGAGGGTTGTCTCATTGTTGCCCATCTAGTGCACCTGTTTATAATATCATTAACACAAAAGCAGCTGAAACTGATTAACAGCCCCCTCTGCTACTTACCTGACCAGATCAATATCCCAGGAGTTTAATTGACTTGATTCTATACTCTGATTAAAAAGTTTTCCTTTTATTTTTTCGAGCAGTGTATATATAGTGCTCAGCATACGTAAATGAGTACACCCCTTTTGCAAACTAAGATTTGAATCAATATCTCAATGAAGACAAGAACAATTTCCAAAATTTTGACAACACTGAGTTTTATAGAACATTTGCTTGGCTCATTACATGACAGTAAGGTTATTAATATAATCTAGCCTACAAAATCTTCAGTTTTACTCAAATTAGTTGATGCGGAAATGAATCCACCCCACAACAAAAACTCCTCCATCTAGTATTTTGTATGACCTCCATGATTTGTAAGGACAGCACCAAGTCTTCTAGGCATGGAATGAACAAGTTGGCGACATAATGGAACATCAAGCTTTTCCATTCTTCAAGAACGACCTCTTTTAAAGTCTGGATGCTGGATGGAGAGTGATGCTCAACTTACCTCTTTAGAATTCCCCATAGGTGTTGGATTGGGTTCAGATCAGGAGACATACTTGGCCACTGAATCACTTTCACCCGGTTCTTCTTCAGAAATGCAATAGTGGCCTTAAATGTGTGTTCTGGATCATTGTCATGTTGGAAAAGTGCACGACGACCAAGGTCACGGAGTGATGGTAGCATCTTCTCTTTGAATATAGAGCATTACATCTGTGAATTCATGACACCATCAATGGAATGCAGCTCCCTGACACCAGCAGCACTCATGCAGCCCCACAGAAGGACACTGCCACCACCATGTTTCACTGTAGGCACCATGCATTTTTCTTTGTACTCCTCACCTTTGCGACGCCATACAGTTTTGAACTCATCATTTCCAAAAACATTTATCTTGGTATCATCACTCCAGAGTACAGAGTCTCAGTAGTCTTTTTCAGCATGAGCCCTGGCAAATTCTAGGTGGGCTTCTTTGTGCATGGGCTTTATGAGAGGCTTCCTTCATGGATGACACCCATGCATGTCATTCCTCTGCAGTGTACGCCGTATTGTGTCACGGGAGACAATCATCTCAGTTTGGCTTTCTACTTCTTTAGTTAACTGCAGTGAACTTGTATCAACCCTTCTCATCAGAAGATGCTCCTGTTGAGGTGTTAACTTCTGTGGATGTGCTGGACGTCTCTGTGAGATGGTTGCAGTTCCATCTTTGTTAAATTTTTGCATCACTTTTGCTCCAGTATTCTGACTGATAAGTAAAGCTTTGCTGATCTTCTTGTAGCCTTCACCTTTCTTATGTAAAGAAATTATTTTCTTTCTCAGGCCTTGTGACATTTCTCTTCCATGTGGTGCCATTGCTGATAGCATAAAATGGGAGGGGTTTTCTTTGTTAAGTAATGCCCTTTTATAATCACCTGTCTGCTGGACACCTGTATAATGAATAATTAGTCTCAGCTGGAGTTGAAGTCTTGTTAATTAGAATTATGTTGTCTAACATGTATCTTTGCTCCTAAGACTTCCATTGGCGTGCATTCATTTTTGCAACACGGGCTTGCATGAATTTGTTAGGAAAAATACTCTGTGTGCGCAAATTAACAAATCTTGTTTGCAATTAATGGCCGGCATTTATGGGAGTATTTTGTAGTATAGAGTCCCATAGAAAATGTAGATACTGAAAGGAAAGTAAAGGTTTTCTGACAAATCTGTTGGGGTGTACTTATTTATGCTGAGCACTGTATATACACACATATGTCCGATGTTAACCCCCAACCTAAACCTTAAAGCAGTATTAATCCCAAAACCAAAAGTCTAATACAATGTATATTGGGCTTACCAATTATTAGATGCGGTGACTGCATTCGTTTTTTTTTAGGCTTTTTCCTGCTGTTTTCACCTGCTGATCTGTATTAGAGTGTCTCCACTCTGGATGAAGGAGCACAGGGGGCACCTCTGGACAGCAGTATTGTAAGTCACAGGTTAGGGGAGTGTTAGATGCACTGGCAGATTTAAATACACCAACAAACTGAAGTCAAACTCCAGCTTATACTTTATAAGCAGTTAAAGCACACAGTTTTTTTTTTCTCTTTTGTGATAAAGTTTTATATAAATGATTAAAAGGTGATCGTTGCAAGCACCTGTGTCAGTGTTAAATGATTTGTCTGAGCCCTGCAGGACCCCATACTCATTCACATGGGGGGGGGATGAGATCTGGGGGCCCCCTTGCTAAAGGGGGCTTCCAGATTCCGATAAGCCCCCTGCCCACAGATTCCCATAACCACAGACCAGGGTTATGGGGAAGAGGCCCTTGTCCCCATCAACATAGGGACAAGGTGCTTTGGGGGGGGGGGGAACCCCCAAAGCACCCCCACATGTTGCGGGCATGTGGCCTGGTATGGTTCAGGAGGGGGACTCCGCTCGCTCGTCCCCCCCCTTTCCTGACCTGCCGGGCTGCATGCTAGGGTAAGAGTCTGGTATGGATCTTGGGGGGGGGGGGGGGCACGCCATTTTTTTAATTCTGGCGTGGGAGTTTCCCTCAAAACCCATAGCAGACCCGGAGGGCTTGGTATGAATGTAGGGGGGACCCCACAACGTTGTTTTATTATTTTTTAAATTCTTTTTGACGTCCTTTCTATGCTGCTGAGCTGCAATATATAGGTGGAGTGTTGTGTGGATGTGACCTTGGCTTGAGTGTAGGCAGAGACACAGGGGGCCCCATTACCTCCTATTGCCCTGGGGCCCCATGAGTTGTCAGTCTGCCCCTGACCCTAACCCTTACTCCCAAATCCCAACAGCCATAATATCTACTACTTTGCACTCAAAAATTTCTTGGCATAACATATTACAACAAAAAATATAAAATGCAAAAATTATCCAATGCTGGCAAACAGCAACACAAATGTGTTCCAATCAGGGGCAGACTGACAACTCATGGGGCCCCCGGGCAATAGGGGATCATAGGGCCCCTGTGTCCTTGCCCAAACTCGAAAAAGGTACCAGGGGCATCTCATGGGGCCCCCTACTGACTGTCAGTCCGCCCCTGGTTCCAATACAACTGATCTGTCATTTCTGATCATTGTTGTTACCAGTTTGGACTCACCTGGAAGTCCTGAGGTTTGTTGGACAGTGCTCTTAGAGGGGCACTCTTTTTCCTCTTGACCCCCTGAACTGGGTATTGCTGGGATTTCTTGGGGAGAGTCGGCTGCTCGGCTCCAGGCAGAAGTGACATCGCATCACCTTCATCTCCAGTGCCGATCGGGTCTTCTGTGTCCTCTTCCTCTGCTATGTCTGCACAGGAAACACAACTAAAGTCACAGCCTGTAATACAGAGATCAAATTGTCCACACTAACAATAACATGGTATGCAAAGGAGTTCACATCCACCAAAATTGACATTTAAAGGGTTACTAAACCCCGGACCCTACATTCACTATATTTGGTCTCCCCGGACCCTGCATTCACTATATTTGGTCTCCCCGGACCCTGCATTCACTATATCTGGTCTCCCCGGACCCTGCATTCGCTATATCCGGTCTCCCCGGACTCTGCATTCACTATATCCGGTCTCCCCGGACCCTGCATTCGATATATCCAGTCACCCCGGACCCTGTATTCACTATATCTGGTCTCTCCAGACCCTGCATTCGCTATATCTGGTCTCCCCGGACCCTGCATTCACTATATCCGGTCTCCCCGGACCCTGCATTCACTATATCCGGTCTCCCCGGACCCTGCATTCACTATATCCGCTCTCCCCAGACCCTGCATTCACTATATCCGCTCTCCCCGGACCCTGCATTCACTATATCCGCTCTCCCCGGACCCTGCATTCACTATATCCGGTCTCCCCGGACCCTGCATTCACTATATCTGGAATCCCCGGACCCTGCATTCACTATATCTGGTCTCCCAGGACCCTGCATTCACTATATCTGGTCTCCCAGGATCCTGCATTCACTATATCTGGTCTCCCAGGATCCTGCATTCACTATATCCGCTCTCCCCGGACCCTGCATTCACTATATCCAGTCTCTCCCCGGACCCTGCATTCACTATATCCAGTCTCCCCGGACCCTGCATTCACTATATCCAGTCTCCCCGGACCCTGCATTCACTATATCCAGTCTCCCCAGACCCTGCATTCACTATATCCAGTCTCCCCGGACCCTGCATTCACTATATCTGGTCTCCCCGGACCCTGCATTCACTATATCCAGTCTCCCCGGACCCTGCATTCACTATATCCGGTCTCCCCGGACCCTGAATTCACTATATCTGGAATCCCCGGACCCTGCATTCACTATATCCGGTCTCCCAGGACCCTGCATTCACTATATCTGGTCTCCCAGGACCCTGCATTCACTATATCTGGTCTCCCCGGACCCTGCATTCACTATATCTGGTCTCCCCGGACCCTGCATTCACTATATCTGGTCTCCTACAGTACATAGAACATGGAAGTACAATTGTTTTAGTAAATGGACACTGCTAAATACCTTTTCTCATCAGCAGTTAGGGCAGTTTTTGACTTCTATCAGTGTCCGGCAGAGCACTGGTTAAAGGTTTTAGGAGGAGTTTTATTTCTGCTCTAGGAGAATGTAGAGCCCCTGACCTCTGTCTGGACAGTGCTGATTGGCCCTATGCTGATCACATGCTCTCACCCAAGAAACACAAAAAAACTCTCTAGGAATACACACTAAACTGAACATGTGCATGTGACTACAGGTTCAGTCTGTCTTATCAGGTGGACAACTGAACAAGAGGAGGGGCAGAGAAGTCAGGATCAAACAGAGTTTTTACACCCTTAGGTTCCACAGTGAGTATAACAAACATGCTTTACTGCATCTACAGACTGATTGTACTGTTGTGGGGTTAGTAACACTTTAAATCAAAGTGGCTCATTTGCACCAAACTGGGTCACAAAAATTGCAGGTCCTTCATCATCAAGACGTTTGAGGGGCTCAAGCAACAATCTCAGGGTTTCGGTAAACCATTAGTACAGACAACATCCATAACATATACAGCAAAGACATATTTTATCTCTGGCCACTTTCTTGATGTTGTAAATATATAGGGAGCTGGCAAGGTCATCTAGCGCCCAGGACAAAGATGGCACCACCCCCCCTCCCCCAAATATGTCAGCAAAAATCCCCTCCCACCCCCTCCCCCACCATCCCCTCATCCCCTCCCAATTAAAATCAAGCACTAATCTGTACACTTATTCCCAAGCAAAAATTCCCTTTGAAAGCCAAAATTCTCCCCCAAAAAATCCCCCTCCCGAATCCCAGCTCAAATCCTCTCCCTCCCCAAATTCCCCCTTCTAGCATAAACCCCCCCCCCCCCCCCCCCCAAATTTGAGCTCCTAGTACAAATCCCCCTCCCTCCAATCATCCCTACTAGCACAAATCTCCCCCTTCCAAAAACACCCCTTCCTAACACAAATCCCCCCTCCTAATATTATTTCTCCCTCTAAAATCCCCCCTCCTAGCACAAATCCTCTTCCCCTCACCCCCACTCCCAACACAAATCATCTCCCTCCCCAAATGCCCCTTCTAGTATAACCCCCTTCCCCCCAAAAAAAAAATGTTTGCTCCTAGCACAAATCCCCTTCCCCAATCATCCCTTCCTAAGACAAATCCCCCCTCCTAGTATGATTTCTCCTTTCAAAATCCCCCCTCCTAGCACAAATCCTCTTCCCCCCATCCCCCACTCCCAACACAAATCGTCTCCCTGCTCAAATGCCCCCTTCTAGTATAACTCCCCCCCAAAAGAAATGTAAGCTCCTAGCATAAATCCCCCTCCCCCCAATCATCCCTACTAGCACAAGCCCCCCCCCCCCCACACAAATACACCCAAATCCCCCTTCCTAACACAAATCCCCCCTCCTAGTATGATTTCTCCCTCCAAAATTCCCCTCTCCTAGCACAAATCCTCTTCCCCCACCCCCCCTATCAACACAAACCCTCTCAAATCACCCACCAACTAACACATCCCCCCCCAAATCACCTCCCTCTTAAATGTTTCCTTCTAGAACAAATTGTGTACCAATGCCACTCCCAAAATTTCTCCTCCCAGTACAACCCCCCCCCATTTCCCATCCTAGCACATATCCCCCCCCAAACCCTCCTCCTAACACTAACCCCCCCCCCCAAATTTCTACTCTTAGCACAAATCCTCCCCCTCCCAAATCCCCCCCCTCCTAGTACAATTTCTCCCTCCAAAATTCCCCCTCCTAGCACAAATTCTCTTCTCTCCCCCCCTCCTAGCACAAATACTCTCATCCCCAGCACAAGTGTTTGTTACTCAGAATCTGCTGTCACTACTCCTGCCAGCTTGTAGGTAGGAACCCTCCACACAGTAAGCCCCGCCCCCACCACCACCATGTCACATGATACCACAGCGCCCAGGGCAGCCGACCCTCTTGCCCACCCCTTGTCCCAGCCCTGATAAGGGAGCTTTCTGGATAAAAAGAAGCCACCAATGTACCAGTCAGGTGGAAATGCAAATGATACCCTTCAGATTCTGAAATTTGACCAAAATTGGAATGGCTGTCTATAGCACTTCATATTAAGAGGCCAATTTATTTCTTAACCATGGAAATAAAGGAGTTTCAAATTCTGACATCTAATGACACCGATGATGTATAGAGCTAAGATGTATCCTCTTTCTTTCGTCCATTGAATGCACCATCTCCCAATCAATGACCGTGGAGTAGCATACATGAAATGAGAGTGGGGGAAAGTCATAATGACTTTTGTCTATACATGTACCAAGTCAGTATTCAGCATGTATTAGCATGAACTATCAATGGCAGCCTTTATGCATTCAACAATAAAAGATTTCCATTAAAGTGATTGTATATTATTTATTTATCTGTTGGTTGGTCTGTTTAATTATTGTGGCCATGACTAAAAAAAAATATATATATAGTTTTAATATTTTTTACTTTTGTTAGTCAGGTAAATATAAATAAATGCATATTTAGATTCTGCATTCTTCTTTTTCACCAGCAGGTGGTACTATAACTCCCTTTTTTACATTTCCCAGTCTCTCTGTTTGTTGTAAAGCCCCATTGTTTACACACTTTGTGAACTTTATCAAATTCAGGTACACAAAGTCGGCATGGTGTGCAGCCATTCGGAGCATCTCTTCATTTCTATAGAATGGCCAGACTAGCGCCCTTAGAGAGTGGCAGGGCGGTGAATGCACCAGGGAAGCACAAGCAGTGGTGTATTTAGGTTTTGTGCTGTCCTAGGCAACACATAAATCGCCCCCCACCCCTGCAGAGATAGCCTGACATTGACGAGGAACACCCCTGCCCTCCTCAGAAGAGCCTTCCACTACCACAGCCCCCCATACACCAGCCACCATCCGCCACAGTGAGGCAGAGAGAGACACTTGCCTGCACAGTCCAGATATCCCTGGGAACAAAAATGGGGTAATTCATACACCATCATGAAACCCACAGTCTCTCTCGGAACCCACCAGGTCCCCATGCCGCATGTGTCCCTTCCTCCATCCCTTCTTCCAAGGGGAAGTGTTGCCCCCCCCCTGAAAAATGCCACCCTAGGCAAATGCCTTGTTTGCCTTGTGGTAAATACACCCCTGAGCACAAGTGCCTAAAGCAGTGTAAATCTTCCCATTGTTTACACACAGAAGTGACTGACACATCAACAGCGACTCCTCCCTCATCAGACAGCTCTGTCTGAAATTTCAAAAGACAGAAGGCAGGCTTATACTGCTGGGCAGTCTCGCTGGCTAACCCACAGTGCTCAGGGAATCCTGTGTCATGCATTGAAAACTCATGTGTAAAATAAGGATTGGATACAAGCCTATAAAACATATAGAACAGAAGTTTAAAAATGTATAAACGCTAAAAAAAAAACCAAAAAATTGTGATGTACCGATATATTATTGGCAGAAAATAGGGTTATGGGCATTTTGCTGCTAAAAAAAAAGGTGATGATAATTGACTTCAATGCAAAATTGCGTCCCATTGATGTCAATGCAAAATCACGTCCCATTGACTTAAATGCAAAACCGCGTCTCATTGCCGTCAGTACAAAATCACGTCCCATTGACTTCAATGCAAAACCTCGTCCCTTTGACTTCCATACAAGATTGTGTCCCATTGACTTCAATGCAAAAACGCCCCCTAATTAAGTTTTTTAATTTTATCTATACATTTCATTTTATTTTCTGTGCAATTTTTTGTGTGTTATTTTCAATAAAAGCTATTTTACATTATTGGATTGTATTTTTTAAATTAATACAGTAGTCGTTTAAAT